CAGGAAAATGAAAAGTCTGCCAAGATGGGTGAGCGGTGAGCCAGATGAGATGGACAGGAAAATGAAAAGTCTTGAACAGAACATAAAGAACATACAAGGACTAGGTGGTCGCAAATGTGTTTCATTCAGTGATCTATGCATGTTCCCTCATATCCATTTACCATCAAGGTTCAAGACCCCAAAATTTGAGAAATATGATGGACACGATGGCCCTATCGCCCACTTGAAAAGGTACTACAACCAGTTGAGGTGCGGGAGGAAAAGAAGAATTGCTGATGGCTTATTTTGGGGAGAGTCTGGTGGTAGTAGCCTCTGAATGGTTCATATCAAGATATCTCTCACTGGCATGTTTGGGATGACATGGCCCAGGCCTTCGTCAATCAATTTCAGTACAACATTGATATTGCGCCAGATCGTAATTTCCTATCCAGTATGAAGAAAAAACTGATCGAAAGCTTTAGGGAGTATGCCATCAAGTGTATGGAGCAAGAGTCTAGAGTTAAGCCACCCATAGATAACCATGAGTTGATCATTGTTTTTCTTATTTCCAAAACTTGATGTCCGCAATGGGCAGACCTTTTGCAGAAGCAATCAAGACAGGGGAAATGGTCGAAAATGGCCTCAAGACTGGCAGAATTGTAAGTCAAGCTGCTCTCAAATCCACCACTCAGGCGATCCAAAATGGGTTAGTAAGTTTAGCAAATAGAAAGAAAAGAGATGAAGGGTCCATGATGACTTCGGGATCCAGGGAAGTTCAAAGAGGGGCATCACACCCTTATGTGCAAGTTCAGCAGGGGCAATCCAGCTACCCTCAATATTATTATCCCCCGCCAATTCCTCAATACTCTGTGGGCCCACCATAGTATACAGTGTTTAATGCTCAATCCTATGCTCGGCCTCCCGATCAACAAGTACGGGCACCAGCTCTAAGGATTCCCCGACCTAAGCAGCAAAATTTTCTAGCCCCCTGCAATGCTCATCCCAGGTAGGATTATAGTCGAGAGCAGAGGTCGGTGGAAAAATTCACTCCATTGGCTGAATCATACTCTAGTCTATTCTAGAAGCTGAAGCAAATGGGCGTGATTAGACCCATCGCTCCCCACCATACGCATCCTGATTCACATGGATTTCAAGCAAATGCTAGATGTGAATATCATTCAGGTGCCCCGGGGCATAGCACTAATGACTGTTGGACTTTGAAAAGAGCCATAGAAAGACTAATTGCTGAAAAATTGATTGTAGTGACAAATGGCGAGGACCCTCCTAATGTGACCAACAACCCCTTGCATGTACATAATGATGTTCATTTTGTGGGAATGATTGGCCGAGATTAAGAATACAAGCCGGCTAATCGAGCAGAAATGACAACGGGAACGATTCAAGAGGGAACCAAACTGGAAGTAAGTCCAAGCCGAGATGTGCCGTTGATTGTGAAAGGCGCCCGAGCTCGAAAAAGATAACTTTATTTGTTCCCAAGGGCTCAAGGTTGGAAGTTCGCTCCAATGTTCCAAGCCCAAGGTTATATGTCCTTGGAGGCCACCCCATCATAAGGCAGAATCAGGGAGGTACGAAGGGTATAACAAAGCCGATCATAATCAAACCTGCCGTGCAACCTCCGTGACAAACACGAAAACCATTCCTTGGAACTATAATAAAACTGTGATGACCTACAAAGTCAAGGAGATCATAGAAGAAGTGGGGGAAACTGGAGGTTTGACCCGATCGGGAGGTGTTACTCTCCAGAAGAGTTGAGGAAGGCCAATAAAATCAGAGAAGGACAAATGCCAATAAAGAAACCAGTCACTGAAGAAGAGGCGGAAGAGTTTTTAAAAAAGATAAAAGTCCAAGATTACTCAATCATTGACCAACTGAGAAAGACTCCTGCCCAAATCTCTCTATTATCTCTGTTCATACATTCAAAAGAGCATGCTCGTGTATTAATCAAGATCCTGAACGAGGCACATGTCTCAGAGAAGACCACAGTGAATCAGTTAGAAAAGATGGCCAACAGATTTTTTGAGGTGAACAGAATCTCCTTTGCTGATGATGAACTTCCCGAGGAGGGAGCCGGGCACAATAGGGCTTTGCACCTGATTGTCAAACGTGAGGGGCATTATGTAAAGCGAGTCATAGTTGATAGAGGCTTGAGTGTAGATGTATTCCCTCTCTCTACCTTGCAAATCATGAAGATCAATACAGACAGAATCCGACCTAGCAATGTTCGCATCCGAGCTTTTGATGGCTCAGCAAGAGATACTATTGGGGAGATTAACCTCACCGTGATGATTGGGCTGGTTGATTTTGAAATTTTCTTCCAATTAGTAGACATTGAAACTTCTTATAACTTTCTTCTCGGAAGGCCGTGGATCCATACGGCCCGAGCTGTGCCATCTACCTTGCATTAGATGCTCAAATTCAAACATGACATGCAAGAAATTATCGTTCACGGGGAAGACAAGTCGTCCATTTATAAAGACCCGTTAATCCCCTGTATTGAGGCCAAGGAAGGGTGTGAATCCATTGTCTATCAGGCTTTTGAAGTGGTTGCTGTAGACCATGTTGAGGAAGGAAATCCCATTTTGCATCCCCGTCTTTCTTCCACATCTGTGATGGTGGCTGCACTTATGCTCAGATAAGGTTATGAGCCAGGAAAAGGCTTGGGGGCATCATTGTAAGGAATTTGGGAGCCCATTTCTCCGTTCAGTAACCATGGTACTTTTGGTTTAGGCTTCAGGCCAACACAAGCAGGCGAAGACAAGGCCAAGCACCACAAAAAGCATGGATGGGTCTTGCAATAACCTATCCCTCACATTTTCTACACTTTTGTCAAGCCACGACTCCAAGAAGGTCAAAATTCCTCGGCGCAGACAAACATTGATGAAATTTGCTATGGCCTCAGCCAGATATTTTCTGAAGTGAATATGATCCAGGCTGGTGAAGGCACTAGTCGTGCCGATATGCAACTAATTGGCCTAGACGCCATGCTAAACAACTGGGAAACGAGTCCTCTCCCCACAAGGAAGGAGTCTTGGTAGTTTGTTTTTGCAGCTTCTTTTTTGTACTTTGGGTTACTTTCAGGGTTATAATCCAAACATCTCACTATGATTGTTTTGTTTTGATGTTAACCCGTCCATCATTTCAAATTCAATGAAATGCAGTTCAGTTTCGTATTAAGTTTTATATCTTTTCCTTTTCCTAATTCCGGTCATTTTGTTTCCATTTCAGTTTTGTTAATGCCGGCTTTAATAACATGACATGCATGCGGAATTCACGCCCAGATCTTAAAAGCTATCCAATTTCGAAATAATGCATCAAGAGGTTGAGTATGATGAAGATGAGGTTGTTGAGGAAATAAAAAGAGAGTTGGAACAATTTGAAAACAAGACTAAGCCCAACCTCAATGAAACTGAGCCAATTAATATCGGTAGTCAGGAAGTTAGAGAAACAAAGATAAGCATTGACACTGAACAAAAACCAGAGATGTCTTGATTCAACTTTTATTTGAATACAGAGATGTGTTTGCTTGGTCTTATGATGATATACTGGGTTTAAGTGATGATCTAGTGGTTCATAAGCTTCCCATGTATCCTGATTTTCCATCAGTCTAACAAAAGCAGCGAAAATTTAAAATGGACATGAGTGACAAAATCAAAGAGGAAATAATGAAGCAACTAAGCGCCAATATGGTCAGAGCTGTCCGATACACCACCTAGGTGGCATATGTTGTGCCTGTGCCAAAGAAGGATGGAAAAACTAGAGTCCGTGTTGACTATAGAGACCTGAACAAAGCAAGTCCAAAGGATAATTTTCCTTTGCCAAACATCCACATTCTCATAGATAATTGCGCAAAGCATGAGATACAGTCGTTCGTGGATTGCTATGCTGGGTACCACCAGATTCTAATGGAGGAGGATGATGTAGAAAAGACTACTTTCACCACTCCATGGTGTACTTATTATTACAGGGTCATGCCATTCGGTTTGAAGAATCTAGGGGCAACTTATATGAGGGCCATGACTATCATTTTCCACGACATGATGCACAAAGAGATTAAAGCATATGTCGATGATGTCATCATAAAATCAAAGACACAGACTGATCACGTGCGCGATTTGAAAAAGTTCTTCGAACGGCTTCGAAGGTATGACCTTAAGCTTAATCTAGTCAAGTGTGCTTTTGGGGTTACATCTGGGAAACTCCTCGATTTTATAGTCAGTCGGAGAGGCACGAATTGGATCCATCTAAGATAAAGTCCATTCGAGATCTGCCAGCCCCGAAGAACAAAAAGGAAGTCATGAGTTTGCTCAGAAGGTTGAACTACACCAGTAGGTTCATTACTCAACTCACAACCACATGCGAGCCCATCTTTAAGTTGCTGAAAAAGGACGCTGCTATCAAGTGTTGTACTGGTCCCACCTGAACCTGGAAGGCCTTTGTTTTTATATATATTGGTGATGGATAATTCCTTTGGATGATGCAACAGGCAAAAAGGAACAGGCATTCTATTATTTGAGCAAGAAGTTCACCAACTATGAGGTTAAGTACACCCTTTTAGAAAGGACATGTTGTGCCTTGACTTGGGTCGCTCAGAAGCTGAGACATTATCTTTTGGCCTACACTACTTACCTTATATCCAGAATGGATCCTTTGAAGTACATCTTCCGAAAGCCAATGCCCTCTGGCAGGCTCGCAAAATGGTAAATTCTGCTCATAGAGTTCGACATCGTCTATGTCACTCGCACCGCGATGAAAGCACAGGCGTTGGCAGTCATTTGGTAGAGAATCCAGTTGATGATGAGTACAAGCCACTTGGCACATACTTCCCAGACGAACTGGTCAACTCAATAGAGAAAGTAGTTCCGGATAACAGCCATGTATGTAAAATGTATTTTGATGGGGCTGTCAATATCAAAGGAGTTGGGATCGGGGCAATCCTCATCTCACCTATCGGACAACATTGCCCTGAAATGACCTGACTTCAATTCTTCTGTACCAATAATATGGCAGAATACAAAGCTTGTATCATGGGTCTGAAAATGGCCCTCTATCTAGATGTGCATGAACTATTGGTTATGGGAGATTCCGACTTGCTAATCCGGCAAGCCCAAGGTGAATGGGAGACTCGAGACATCAAGCTTATTCTGTACAAACAATGTGTGCAAGACCTGAGCAAAAGATTCAAATCCATCGAGTACAGGTACATTCCCAGGTTTCACAACGAGCTAGCCGATGCCTTGGCTACTTTAGCCTCGATGCTCCCTTATCCAGGCAACACTCATATTGATCCACTAGAAATCCAAGTTCGGAATCAATATGGTTATTGTAATACAATTGAGACAGAACCAGATGGTGAACCATGGTATCATGACATAAAACGATTCCTAAAAATAAGAGAATACCCAAAGCATGCCAAAGGAGATCAAAAAGAACTATAAGGCGGTTCGCCGGTGGTTTCTTCCCGAATGGGGAAATTTTGTACAAAAGGACCCAGATTTAAACTTGTTGAGATGCATAGATGCCACAGAAGCTGAGCGAATCATGAGTGAAGTGTATTCGGCGGTATGCGGACCTCAAATGAATGGATATGTTTTGGCGAAGAAGATTCTGCGGGCAGGGTATTATTGGCTTACTATGGAGCGAGATTGCTTCAGTTTCGTTTGCAAGTGTCACCAATGACAGATTCATGGTAACCTGATTCACTCGCCTCCTTCGGAGTTGCATCCCATGTCCTCTCCTTGGCCTTTCGTTACTTGGGGAATGGATGTTATTGGGCCAATCGAGCCAAAGGCTTCAAATGGGCACATATTCATTTTGGTTGCAATAGATTACTTCACCAAGTGGGTGGAGGCCGTCACTTTCAAAGCAGTCACCAAGAAAGCAGTGGTAGCATTTGTTCATTCCAGCATCATATGTCACTTTGGTATCCCAAAGACCATTATCACTGACAATGCAGCCAAACTAAATAGTCATTTGATGAAGGAGATATGCGAGCAATTTAAAATTGTGCATCGCCATTCTACCCCTTACCGACCAAAAGTCAGCGGAGCCGTTGAAGCGGCAAACAAGAACATCAAGAGATTCTTAGGAAGATGATCCAAGGGTCAAGGCAATGGCATGAAAAGTTGCCTTTCGCTCTTTTGGGATACCGCACGAATGCTCGCACGTCTGTTGGTGCAACTCCTTATCTGTTGGTATATGGAACGGAAGCTGTAATACCCGCTGAAGTTGAAATTCCCTCTCTCCGAATCATTGTGGAATCGGAGGTTGAAGACACCGAGTGGGTCAAGACCCGATTAGAACAACTAATGCTGATTGGTGAAAAATGGTTAGAGGAAGTGTGTTTTGGCCAATTATATCAGCAAAGAATGGCCCGCGCTTATAACAAGAAAGTGCGCCCAAGGCACTTTGAGGTAGGCCAGCTCGTTTAGAAGCTAAAGGAAAGTTCACCCCAAACTGGCAAGGACCCTACATCATGAAGAAAGTGTTACCAAAAGGGGCTTTGCACTTGGTAGATGAAGAAGGACGGGTACCAGACATGGCTATTAATGCAGATGCACTCAAAAGATATTATGTCTGATATATACCTATTGTGGAAATTTTACGCATGATTTTCTCAGATCGAGATTACGAAGGCTATCATTACTTGCTATTCTAAATAGGTGTCACCCTTTTGTTAACCCTTTCGAGCCGTATTTGTCTTCTTTTGTTCCACTTTTTGGAACATGTGTACTTGTAAAAGCAAAAAGAAAAAACAACCAACACAAATCTTTTGAGTCATTGAACTACGTTCGACCTAATTTCGAAAGGATACGTAGGAAGCCTTACCCTGGGTTCGGCCCCATCGCACCAAAAAATCCATATTCCCAATACTCCAAAACTGGGGCAGAAGTTTGTTTTGTTTTACGATTTTTTCTGTAGAAATGGTTCCAAAAGTATTAATTTAGTTCAAGGTTCTTTTCACCTTTTCCCTGTTAAGAACTTCTGATCGATCTTTGAGAATGTTTGAAGTCCCCATGCCAAGGCGTTGGGCAACATTCCGCATGCATTGGAAAACCCGTATGGGCATTGTAAGGCGATTGTGAGCAGAGAAATAAGAGAGTCTTATTGGTGAAAACCCAGATGGGCACCATAAGCCGATGGTGATTTAAGAAATGAGAGAGGTTAGTTAGCGAAAACCCGCAAAGGGCGCTACTAGCCGAATGAGGGTCTTCGATATTTCGGCATGAGCACAAATAAGGCAGTTTCAAGATAAACATTTCAGACGAATTTTGAGAATTAGACAGCTCACACAGATCAGGCATACTGTCCAAAATGCATGTCATGATTCATTGAAGTCGGCACACACCTTTAGATAAGTCTCCCTATTCCTCTCCCCAAAACGGACATTTTTTGTTTAGACACAATTCCTTTTTCGCCTTCAATTGCTCTTTTGCTTTTCCCATAATTTTTGTTTGAGTCCTTTTCGGTCTACTCTTGCATCAAAAGCAAAGCAAAGAAATGGCTGCAAAAAAACTGGCTACAGTTTTCCCGTAGTACTGAGCATAATTTGGAGCATATACGGCATTGACGAAGGCAGGAATCCATCTGTGATCTCTTTTGATAAGGTGGACAAAGTGTGTCAAAGAAACTGAAAAGGTCGCCTAAGCAAAACTTGCTTCATGGGAAAAGTTGATAAACACCACAGACACAAACTGGTACTAGGAGCAAGACAACTAAGTTTGATTTTAAAGGAACATTGCCTTGCTTTAAGGACAAGGATTAGCAATACCATGGACATCCGGGTACGAAACAGTCAGGGGAAACGTCAGAAAACGAGGTCTCCAGAATGCAATACAGAGTACCCGAGCACCTCAGTACCACACTGATAGAATCAGTTCTTCAACAGCGGAATGGCCGTGAATTCAAACTACAACAGCGCATCAAGGCCACAAACCAACCACCACTTTGAAAACTCACAAATTTTTCTTTGTTTGAAACAGGAACAAACCAATGTAGAATGGCGATTCTCAAAGGACGAATGTCCCTAACGTAAGCTCCTTAAAATATCCATTTTCTTTTATTTTCATCATGCATCACTACTGTTCATACCTCTCATTATCGTAGCTTATCTCAGGTAGAACCGTTCCGCCTAGGGGGGTCCAGCTCATAGTTCCGGGTAAAAGTACTCTTCACTCAAGGTGTTTTACGTAGTTTAACTCAGGTAGAACCATTTCGCCTAGGGGATCCAGCTCATAGTTCTGGGTATAAGTACTTTTCGCTCAGGTTGTTTTACGTAGCTTAACTCAAGTAGAACTATTTTGCCTATGGGGATCCAGCTCATATTTCCGGTAGAAGTACTCTTCGCCCAAACTGTTTTACGTAGCTTAACTCAGGTAGAACCTTTTTTCCTAGAGGGATCTAGCTCATAGTTCCAGGTAGAAGTACCCTTGGCCCAGCTGTTTTAGGTAGCTTAACTCACGCATAACCTTTTCGCCTAGAGGGATCCAACTCATAGTTCCGGGTAGAAGTACTCTTCACTCAGTTTATTTTACGTAGCTTAACTTAGGTTGAACCTTTTCTCCTAGGGGGATCAAGCTCATAGTTCCGGGTAGAAGTACTCTTCGCCCAGGCTGTTTTACGTAGCTTAACTCAGGTAGAACCTTTTCGCCTAGAGGGATCCAGCTCATAGTTCTAGGTAGTAGTACTCTTCGCTTAGGTTTCTTTACGTAGCTTAATTCAGGTAGAACCATTTCACCTAGAGGGATTCAGCACTTTATCAGTAATATAGAATACCAACCCCTGGTTACATCCCTTCCTACTGATACAGGGTGACAACCCCTGGTTATATTTTCCTTTCAGTAATACAGGGTACCAACCCCTGGTTACATTCTTCCTCAGTAATATAGGGCGCCAACCCCTTGTTACATTTCCTTCCTAATGATACAGGGTACCAACCCCTAGTTACATTTTTTTCCTAGTAATACAGGGCGCCAGCCCCTAGTTATATTTCCTATCAGTAATACAGGGTACCAACCCCTAGTTATGTTCCCTTTCGATAATAAAGGGCCCCATCCTCTAATTCCATTTCCTTTGATAACACAGGGTACCACCACGTGGTTGCGTATCTTCACATAGCTAGTTGATACTACTGTCTTCATCCTTCTTTCAGTAAATTAGATCGTTTATAGCTTTCTCTAATAACTCACAAAATTTTCCTAACGCCAGACTGGGGTAGAAATGTTTTGTTAGTTTTGTTCATCTTTGATGGCTTTGCAGGCTCCGCCGTATAGCACAAGTCACAATTGAAGCTTGCAGTTTCAATTTCTCATCAGAAGAAAGAAGTCTTTCGATCACAAGATAGTTGGAGTTAGCTTTGATAATGTGTCGGCAACACAGCTTCTCATGTTTCATATTCTCAAATTCTGATCCAAAAAGCAAGCAACCGAGATTGATTCATAATCTTTTCTTCAAAGAGAATCAAAATCCGATCTAAGGTCAACACAAGCGAGCAAGTCAAGAATCAAGATTTGACTCCAGAAGACACATAGATAGGAATTTTGTAACTCTTAGCTTGCAGGCATATATAGTTCTCTTCTTCTTTTGATGTAAGCAGCAAGTAACAGTAACAACAACAACATCAGCAGAAACAATCTTAACTCCAGTGTTCGGTAGTCCCAGCTACCAAATTTTCCCAAAACTACACTTACCTGATTCCTTTATAGCCAAGGATATATAGGCAACCTCGGAAGCAAGGTTCAGTCACGTTTTTCAAAAATGCTTTCTTTAGAGTGATACACGAGTATAATTAGCTATGACATTCACTTTCTTTGCACGAAAACTCTTCATGTTCTCGAGCAAAGCGGGCAGCTGTATATATCAAATTTTTGCTCTTTCTATTTCTCCTACATTACATTTTTTTGGTAATTATTTATATTTTATATCATCACAAAATCGGTTACAAATTTCCTCTAGAATCAGCAGTTTGGACAGAGAGATCCCAAACTTGCTGCATACTATCACTATCAACCTTGTCTACAGAGCTCTAGTTTCTAAGGATAAAAATTCAAATCTTTCATATATCTATCTAATCTACTAACTTTGCGAGCTCTCACGTGAATTTCTCGTATCATTTGTTTGACTAGTTGATCTGCAGATCTGCTGCTTTCTTTGAAAATCCTTGCATTCCTTTCCTGCCATACATGATACACTCCACTAGCTAGTATCATTCTGTATACCTCCTGTTTAGCAGTCTTCCCTGTAGCATTTTCTATAGCCCATTGTACTTCATGCTTCCAGTTCCATACTTCTCTCTTTATGCCTTGCCAAGTTAGGAGCTTTGACCATACCTTTTTAGCATACATGCACTCAAATAGTAGATGGTCGATGTCTTCATTTTCTTGCTTGCATAGCACACAGTCCATATCCTTTAGATTAGCCCAGCATGCTATCCTCTCCTTAGTTTGTAGTCTTCTGTGAAGAGCCAAGAATAAGATGAATGTCCATTTAGGATGGCCATTGTTGTTGCAGACCATTGTTCTCCAGGGAACTTTTTGAAATTCTCCACGATAGACTCCATATATATCCTTTATTGAGTATCTAGTCATAGCAGCTACATCTGTTTCATGGAGGCCTATTTTTTCAAACATGCTTTTTGCTTTAAGAATCTTCTGTACCACCCATGAGGCTTGGGTAGTCTTAGTCTCCCATACATCCCCTGCCTTGGTATAGTAAGCATGGATCCACTTTACCCATATGCAATCTTTCTTCATGCATATGTTCCATAGAAGTTTACCAATAGCAGCCCAATCCCATGTATATATGTCTATAATATTTAGACCCCCTACTGCTTTAGGAAGGCATAATCTATCCCAAGCTATCAATGCTTTCTTGTTAAGATCATTGCCTCCAGTCCACAAAAAACTTCTGCAGGTGGCTTCAATCATCTGAATAACTTTTCTTGGCAGTACAAACACGTGTGACCAGTATAGTTGAATAGAGTACAACACAGATTTCACAAGTTGGAGCCTTCCAGCATATGATAAGTACCTAGTGGTCCATGATTTTATTCTAGCCAGTATCTTGTCTATTAGAGGTTTGCATTGAATAATAGACAACCTTTTTGTACTCAGGGGGATGCCTAAGTACCTAAAAGGTAGATCACCCTTACCAAATTGGGTAGCCTGAAGGATTAGATGTTGGATCTCCTGAGGGACACCACCAAAGTACACTGAGATTTTCTCAATATTGGCACTTAATCCAGACACTTGTGAGAACTTTTGGAAGCACTGGACCAACATAGTGATAGACTCTAGTTCTCCTTTGCAGAATAGTAAGAGATCATCTGCAAATCGAAGTTGAATAATCTGCAGCTTTTTGCTTCTAGGGTGAAATTTGAACTTTTTATCTTCACTGATACCCTTTATACTTCTGCTAAGGTATTCCATGGCAAGCACAAAAAGGAAAGGGGATAAAGGGTCTCCTTGCCTTAGGCCTTTCTTAGCTGGAAAGGGTGGTAATGGCTCTCCATTGAGCAAAACTGAATAGGAAATAGTAGAGATGCAGCACATAATCCATCTGATAAATTTTGCTGGGAACTGGAGGCATTGTAGGACTTGCTCAACATATGGCCATTATATTGAGTCATAAGCCTTTCTCATATCTATTTTAACATACATCTAGGGGTGATACCTTTTCTGCCATAGCCCTTCACCAATTCATGGCTCAATAGGATGTTGTCTGTGTTAATCTTCCTGGCACAAAGGGTGATTGACTTTTGTCCACCAGACTGTCCATCATCCCCTGCATCCTAGTAGTAAGGATTTTAGAGATCAGCTTATATAGCATAGTGCAACATGCTATTGGTCGGAATTCTAAAATTTTTGTGGGGTTCTTGATATTTGGGATTAGTGTAATAGTTGTACAGTTTATTGCTTTGTATAGGTCTCCATCAATGAAGTATTGAAGGACTGCTTCAGTAACCTTGTTTCCAATCACACTCTAAGCTTTTTTGAAAAAGAATGCATTGAAATCATCACATCCTGGAGCTTTATGATCATCAATACTCATAAGGGCTTGAAAAACTTCTTCCTTAGTAACCTATGACACTAGCTGCAATTGTTGGTGTCTATTAAGAACTTTTCCACGTTTCATTACCTCAGGGTCAATTGCTGGTAGTTGGCTAGCAGCACTCCCTAGAAGTGCTTTGTAGAAACTAGTTACTTCTATGGCAATGTCTTCTGGTTGGTGAATAATGCCTCCATTAGAATCACACAGGCTTGTAATTCTGTTCTGAGTCTGTCTATTCCTTAGGCTGGCAAAGAAGTAGGCATTGTTCTCATCACCTAGTTCTAGCCATTTATTTCTAGATTTCTGCTTAAGGATACTTTCCTCCACTAGGCTCCATTTCTCTAGTTTCATCTTCACTTCTTTCTCTTCTTCAAACAGGAAATCTGGTTGTGTGTGATGGCCCTTTTGTGTTTGGATGTCTTGCAGTTCCTTCCTATAGAACTCCATCTTCTCCTCTATGTTTCTGAATTCTACATGATTCAGTTGTTTAAATTCTTTCTTCATTTCCTTAAGCTTCCACCATATGTTTTGCATGTGCTGCTTTGCCGTAGGTTTATACCAGATATTATTCACCACTTTCAGAAAGTCTGTATGCTCTGCAAGGCAGTTCAAGAATCTAAAAGGCTTTGAACTTCTTTGCACATCATTTTGTAATTGAACACACAAAGGAGTATGGTCTGAAACCCCAGGATTTAAGATCATTACTTCATTAGTAGCAATTGTCATCAACCATTCAACATTTACAAGGGCTCTGTCTATCCTGCTCCAAATGTGACCATTTGACCAAGTATATTTCCTTCCTATTGCTCGTAATTCTGTCATGCCACTAGTTTGTATAAACTCATTAAAGTCCCTTACTTCATTATCTTGGACTGAGTTGCCAAATTGTCTGTCTTCTATATCAGTTATTGCATTGAAATCCCCAATGACTAGCCATGAACTTTGAAGATGCCTTTTTGCCCCTTTCAAGTCTTCCCATAACTCCTTCCTTGTCTCAATAGTATGTAAACCATAGACTGCTGTCAAGTGTAGTTTTAGCTGTAGTTGAGGAATGTTAAGGACTCCATGAATAGCCTGAGAACTCATATTAGTAGCTTCAAATTCCAGCCTGTTTGGATCCCACATAATCCATATTCTTCCTTTAAAGCTATATGCATAGTTTGCACACCATTCCCAGTTTGCTGCAATTTTGTGAATAACTCTGCCAGCATTGTTTTCCTTTACTCTATTTTCTAGTATACCTATCAATGCTATATCATTATTTACAATGAACTTCTTTTTACCTCTTTTAGCTTGTATACTTTATTTACACCCCTCACATTCCAAGCTATAAGCTTCATTTACTTGGTTGTTTGGACTTAGGATCCCCTGTATCCCCCTGGTAACTACATTGCCCTTTTTCCTTAGTTGTATCTCCTATCTCAAAGTTAAGTGGACTAAAGCCATTCATCATATTAATGCCAGTATTGTCACGCCCCAAATTCGAGGGACATGACCGGCGCCCGACCGGGTAGCCCCAGCCAAGCGAACCTGGATGCCTTTCCTAACCCACATGTTACCCCATGTTTTCCTTACTCAATTATTCCAAGAATTTGCCAAATAATTAATTAAGAACACTTTTTAATTTACAAAACACATACATACTTACATAATAGTAATGAAATCACCAACTCGTTATCAATGTATGAAAACACGGATCTACACAAGTTTCTAACCCACATCTACTGTCTACGGAGCCTCTAATAGTACTACAGGACAATACAGTATTTGCCGGTAACAAGGCTCCGGCTATACCTTACACAAAATCAACAAAAACTCCGGAAACAATGTGGCATGAACCACGCAGGGCCCCGAGAGGAAAGGGGCTCACCAAAAAGCTGATGGATGACGAAGGGGAGCTACGATCGGTGGACTGGAGTACCTGCTACGGATCCACCTACAATCATAACACGAATGTAGCGCCCCCGGCAAAAGGGACGTCGGTACATTTGAATTGTACTGGTATGTATGAACCAACTTTGCTCCAAGTAAACTCGAACCATAAGCAAGTAAGTAGCAGAAATAAAAGCGACAATCAAATCCACAAGGAGGGAACAATTAAGCCAACAGGTATACAATCTCTCCTCCATAAACAAGCATGTAATTGTAAAGGAATTAACAATCAAATCCACAAAGAAAGAGCAACCAAACCAACAAGTTTACAATCTCTCCTGTTTCCCCTTCCACATTTCCACATCAATAATTTTCACAATTTGTTCATAGTTCATTTCTATAGCGATTTCGATCGCTTTCCAACCTTATTACCTCGGCCACCCTTATTACCTTGGCCACCCTTATCACCACAACTCACGCCTTATTTCTTCGTGTTGCGGTGCGCAACCCGATCCCACCGAACAATCACAATTCACAAACAACACAACAACAACAACAATTCACAAAGAACAACAACAACAATCCTCAAGAAACAACAACAACAATTTACAAAGAACAACAACAACAATTTACAAAGAACAACAACAACAATTTACATGAACTTCCATAGCCATCAATACCATTTCCATGTATTCCACTACTCATATGCATTGATAGGTAAAGACGATAATTTCCCACGACAAACCATATATGTTACTACCACGGTTATTCCGAGCATATCAATTCCCATTTCCTTCCATTACTTGTTTCACAGTTCTTACCACATAGCACATTCAGAATCGCAAACTTGGTTTATTTCTGATTAATTGCATCAATATAGCGAAGGCACAACCACAATCGCTCAACCATACCAATCACAGGAATTTCACAAACAAATCACGTAGAAATCACATACCAAGCACTCAAACACCCAAACAAGGCGATTTTACAAGTTCAAAGTTAGCCATACATACCTGGAGCCGAATTCCCTTTTAACTTCTATTTCCAATTCACCAAATGGTCTAGCAACGTCAATCTAGTGCACAAGTTAACGCGTATGACTTAGAAAAGAAGTTCACAATTTCTTCTCAACTTATTTAGGTTAGCAACCCATGTTTGTACCATCTTTTACTCCTACCCAATTACTCTCACTAGTTTTTAGGTTATAGAATGACATGCATGTATGAGTTCAACCACTATTTTCAAAAACCAATGCATGAGACTCCCCCTCCCCCCCTAGTTTAAACCAGAAATTCAGTGAAAAAGGGTTAGGGATGTTACCTGCAAGAAAAGGGGGATGAAGATAAGCTTGAAATTTCCCGGCCCGGATGGTTTTGAAGAATCAAATTTGGAGAAGATGACTTTCTCTCTTAAGACTCTCTCTTCCTCTCTCTTATTTTGTGCAGAAGGTCGTTAAAAATGAGGGGCTGGGGGTGTTTTATTAAAAAGGGGGTCGGGTATAAAATTTAGAAAATAGAAGCCCGAGCAAGATCTGCGGTCGCATTCTGCGATCGCAGAACTGAAATGCGGTCCGCAGATTGGACCGCAGAATTGCTCCCAAAACTCTGGTAATTCTGTTTAGGTCTGCGACAGGAATGCGGTCCGCATTGCTGTTATGCGGTCGCATTGTGCACCGCAGAACTGACATTCACAAATCCTTGAGGAACTTATGCGACGATTATGCGGTCCGCATATTGGTTATGCGATCGCATAATAGACCGAATTTTTAACATTAATTTTGACAACTCTTCTGTTCCACTCTGCGGTAGGAAGGCGGTTTGCATAGTAGATCTGCGACCACATTCTGGGCCGCAGAATGGCATTTTCTGGAAAAATTGATTCTTTTGATTTTTAACACATATTCGGAGTCGACACCTCAAGATACTATATTTTCGAGTCAAAAATTTTTACGGGGCCTCACAAGTATCACCCCTGATGCTTGCTATACCACTTTTAGCTACAGATTTCCTTTTAGTTAGTTCCCAGTCTGGAAGTTTCTCATTCTCAGTATCCCTTATCTTGCTTGCTTGTATTACATTTTTAGTTGGAACACTTTCATCTTTTCCAACCCTGCTTGGTTCTATTCTTCTTCTCCATTCCATCTTTGGTTTCTGTTGTTTTTGTTTTCCTTCTATAGCTTTTTGAACATTCCTGCAACTATGTACAACCTGAAGGCAGGTGTGACAATACTCAGGAATCCAATCATAGTCAATAGCTTGCTCAAATACATTTCCTTTAGGATCCATAACCTTTAGCATTGTAGGCATATCTTTTGTAACATCCATTTCAACTAACAGCCTTGCATAGGAAATCCTCTCAATTTTAGAGGTGCACTCATCTGCATATAGAGGTATTCCTAATCCACTTCCTATTCTGCTAAGTGAGTCCATACTCCAGCAATTCAGTGGCAAGTTTGGCAGTTTTAGCCAAATAGGTATTGTCTGTAACACTTCCTTACTGAAATCAAAGTTAGGCGACCAGGCTTTGACAATTATAGGCTTGTTCCTTATCATATATGGTCCAGACGCCAGCACAGCATCCTTATCTTCCATGCTATTAAGCTTGACAACAAAATAGCCATCATTATGGAAGTATATTTTTGGTTTACTGATGAAGTTCCACTGTGTGGCAATAAATTGATCCAGCATACCAATTGAAGGGGATTCACCCATAACATACAACACAATTGCATGTTGCCATTTCATCGTTTCACGATCAATCTCATTTGTGTCTAATTCAATAATTTTTTCACCATTTTTGACTATTGGAGCAATAAATTTGAGGCTCATACCTCTAGACGCCAAATTGTTCCCAGCAAATAGGTTCACCCACTCCTTCTTCTGTTCCTCTGCTGGTTTATTAGAAATTTGAGCTTCCGCTGCCATAGTTAGTACCTCCTTCCTCTGTATCACCTTTTCGACCTCAATATTCTCCGCGATTGGGATTTTCTCCAGTAGTTTCACACTTTGGATCTGTTCACCTTTGTCTATTGGAGTGGATCTAGCTGAATTCACTTCATGCAAAGGTGGCCACATCTCAGTACTGTTCTTCAACTATTCTATTGGATTCGACAACTTTTGCATGTCATCGATCTTCTTCGTTTGATCGATTGTAGCTTCCTTACTCGTACTTGTGAGTTGAATCACTCTCTTAGGTCTCCCCCTACCCATGCCGGCAGAGGCGCACGTTAGGCCACCGTCAATGCGCAACCGTCGTCAGTGTTTTTAGAGAGAAGTCAGAGCTCTATGCCTTGTTCGGGAACTTTAATAGCAAGAAATCCTCCTCCTACATTACATTTTTTCTAAGTTTATTGTGTGTGGTTATAGACTATAGCATTAGATTATCAATTAATTTGTCAAGGGGTTTAATGGATTGGATTAATGCCCATTTCAGTTGAGTTATGCACAAATCAGGCCCAATTTTTTAGCCCAATTCGGCCAATCCAGTCCAGTTGATGGTTGGTCAGGACTTGGTTCAAAACGGCATAGTTTCATGATGAAACTACGTCGTTTCATTAAGTGAAACCAAGAGTCAATCTCACCCATCCATTCCCTCATGATCCAACATCTCTAATTCAATCCCCTCCCTAGGTATTTAAAGCTTAGAATCCCTGAAAATATCCCCCATTTTCCCCTTATTTCATTTTTTCTTCCTCTCTTTTCACTCTCCCCACTCTCTTTCAAGACCTCGCCGCCCGCCGCCCTGCTCCGCCGCTGGAAATCGCCCACCGGTGGCGGCCATCCTCCAAACACCCCCCAAATTACATCAATCTTCTCCTCTCCTCATCCTCTTTTTAGATCCACTACCCAAATCCCCCAAATCTCCACAAAAAATTGACAAAATCAAACCCTAGTTGCGCCGCCGCCGCCCCTCGTCCAAACTACCCAAAAATTTCACCATTTCTTCCTCTCAACCTTCTCTCCACGAATCCAAGCCCCATTTCCTTCAAACCCCTCCCAAAATCAGCATCACTGCCGGCAGCCACTATCACCGCTGACTCATTGCCACTGCCACACCACTTAACCTCTACTTTTGGCTATTTTCAACTTAAAGACACTCCTTTCCTTTTGGCGAGATGCCGAAACTCATTTGTATTAGCATATGCCCGAAAGAAACGTGTGTTTTGGGGTTGGACAGTTGCTACTTGATGTCCCCGGCATCTTCTCATTTGCTCAAGTCGCCTCAAATGTCGTCGTGTGGTAAAACCCTAGCTCCCTTTATTTTTAGTTTCTTTCTTCGTTTTCTATTTTTTGATTTTTATTTAGGTTTAGGTTTTGTTTGATTTCTTCGCTCGTTTTTGTCATTGCTGATTCGTTTGGCTGCATTATTATATTTTTAAATAGTCGTATTGTCTAATCGTTGGTCGTTTGTTGCTATAATTGTTGTCCGATAGTGCAGCGATGCTATGTTAAATTTGTTTAGTGTAATATGTTATAGCTTCAGCTGCCCTACGTTAATTGCATAAGTTGAAGAAGTGGTTTTAATCTAGTTCATTTGAATGCTCAATTTGGTTGCAATCCAAGTATGTTTGCCTTATCTATTTAATCAATTCTAGTTTCTTGTTTCTTGATTTGTTTTGAATTACATAGGTTGGTACTAATATTATAAGGCAAAGCTGAAGTTTAGGTAATTTTATTATAAAATAGGGTACTAGTAGCCTACTTTTTACTAGTAGGGTGGCTGAAATGACATTTTTTTCTCCTTGCTTATGCTATAGCAGATTTTCATGTTGTCCTTTCACCTTTTGGACAACCTTTGAACAATATTTAGCTCACAAAGTCAGTCTTTTTTGGACAAATTTTTGGTGAACCAATATCTGTCCAAAAAGTGACTTCATTTGCCTATTTAAGGGGCTGCTCTTTCCACACTTGACACACACTTAGATAACTTCTTGAGAGTTGCTTGAACACACATATCTTCTGGGGTAAAAGAGGGGTGTGACAGTATCTAAAGCTATATTTTAATAAGAGATATTATACTTTTTTATATTTGAAGTTATATATCTATATAAGCATAAGCAAAGACAAGTTAGTGTTGTCATTTTTTCTGCACTTGTTGTTTATAATATAATATTTTTAAATGACATAAAACCTTTAACTTCACATAGTAATATTATAATTTATTAATAAGGGGTAATCTAAATAAGTAAGATGTTAGGCATGTATTTATAATATGTTTCCTTTGATAATATTGTAAAAAATTGTATTTACTAATATAAAGATTTAAGCATTCTAATTTAAAGTTCTAAAATATTTTTACTGTTAAAGAGTAGACAGTCTTTCTTTCTTTTTTTTTTTTTTAAAAAGTTTTTGTACTTTTGTTTTATTTTTTATGTAGATTTTAATATTGTCTAAACTAAAATAAAATTATAAAATCTACTTTTAAAAATTTTTGGGACCTCAAAATCTCGAGGAACTAAATCGAGGCTTTACTAGCCTCCTCCTTGTGTCACCCATCCATCCTTGATATTCTCAATCAAATTTTATTGTCCCAATTAAGATAAAAAAACAATGACAAGAACATTAAAGGCGGTGAATGTGTTATTTAGCTACCAATGTGAATGAAGCTGGTTGAACAGCATGTACGAAACATATTAAAAAACCCCTTAAATTTCTTTTATAACATCCACATAATAACGAGAGACAAAAAAGCCTGTATGGCTTTGATCTAGTGGTGAGAGTGCAACACATGATGCGTGGGTTAGGCACACATCATCGTGGTATTAACTATTCCCTAGAAAAAAATATTTATTAAGTAACAATGATAAAGGCGTGAGCCTATTATTCATCGAGTTTTGAACCTTGCAGCACTTGCCTCGGGGATTTCTTAGTTTAAAAAAATAAGACACAAAAGAATGGTATATGGATCAATCAAATGTGAAAAAAAGAATAGCTAATTTAGAGAATTTAAGTTGAAACTAAAGAGTAAAATCGAAAAAACATGAAAAAGACTATATGTAAAGGAAGAAAAATAGAATTAATGAGAAGGTAAATATATTATTTATTTAATGATGTCACGACCCGAATTTTCCATCGCCAGGACCGTGATGATGCCTAACATTTCACTTGCTACGCAAGCCAACGTTAGAGGTTTCTTAATGCCAACTTAGCCAATTTCAATAACAAGAACAATTAAGCTAAATAGAAGCTAAAACTGATTTGCGGAATAACATAAAACCCATAATATCTGTTACATTTTGGATCTGGAGTCCCAACTCAAGAACTACTATGATTTACTACAAACAGAGCCTGAAAAGAAATATACAGTTCTGAAAGAAAAGAAACAGTATGATAACAAGACTAGGAAGAGACTCTAGGGTCTGTGGACACCAGCAGATCTACCATGGGTCCCCTGACAAGCAAGTCCAGCTGCTAACCTCGCGATCAGCTAGGGCCGGTACCAAAATCTGCACAAGAAGTGCAGAGTGTATTGATCGGGTCCAACCCTACACCACTATAGAGTGGCAAGAGCGGTTGATGCAACTTTTACCCGAGAAGGTCGAGATCGAATCCACAGGGAGCTAGAATAAGTTTGGGATTGGATTCCTATCTAAACTAGCAATGCGCGATGTAATTATTTACACTTCCAAACATGCTTTGTTTTTTTTACTATTCTAAATTTTATACTAATGATGCAGGAAATTTGACTAAGTATGATATTTTTTTTTGAAGAGTTTTGTTGATTGGTAAAGAGGCACTAGGGAAGTGACTTACTCCTAGGTAAGTATCTAACGAGATCTAAAACTTAGGGCAATTTGTTATAGATGGGATCGTGATATAGCCAATGCATGAAACTACTCACTCTATACCTCTCGGTAGTTTGAGTGACTATGCCCTAATTGGCTTTCTCAAGTCCAATTGGGTGTTCGAATTTGTGCAAGCAAAATTGGCTCAAGTCGGGTATTACTATCTCTAGGTTTAACCCTTTAATTGGGGCTATCAATCTCTTGAATGAGATAGAATGCACCCCAATTCCTTGGTGACCTGAATTTCCTAGACTTGGACTCTCTTTCTCAAGAAGAGCCTAAGTCAAAAAGGCACAAATTAGTATTTGCAACTACCATTTCAACATTAAAAGCACAAAACATGCCAAAATCATTCACCCATAAACATCAAAGCCCTAAAATAAGAGACCCATTAAATACCCACACTAGGGTTGAGCCACAACCCTAGCTAATGGGTTTAACTACTCATAACTGAAGAAATCATAGATTGAGATGAAGAATAACCCATAAAATGTAATTACAAGTTAAGATTCTAAGATTAATTGCTACTAGCTACAAAATTACTCAAAATAGGTAAAATACGGCGTTCACGTGCTCAGCTACAGATAAGATGACCTAAAAATCTGAAAAAGTAGTATTTATACACAACCAAATTTTCCGGATAAAAATGCCCCTGACGGAGGTACCGCTGACAGCGGAAAATGGACCGCTGCAGCGTTGAGGCTACCGCGACCACGGTAAATCAACCACGGACTGCGGTCTTCAGCTTTAGCTCAGACTCCAGGCTCTCTGAATCTCTTTTCCGCGGACCGCGGTAAAAGGACCGCTGTCGCGGTAGAGGTACCGCGGTTGCATAAAATCACCGCAGACCGTGGTAGCTTTCAATCCCAGAAAATCATCTCTCTGAACCTTGCCACCGCGGACCACGATAAAAGGACCGCGGTCGTAGTGGGTCTTCTGCGATCGCGGTGGATTTTCCGCTTTAGCGCTGGTTTGACTTGGTTTTGAACTTGTGCATGTTTCACTCCTTTTTTTGAGTTGGTTATGACATCCTTGTCTCCTTTTGATCAAACACTGCAAACAAGCACAACAAGTTAGCTTTTGGGAATACTTGTACACATTTTAGTCCAAAACTCAAGCAAAAAGGAGCATCAAATAGACTAGAATTCCTAGTTATGATGTAGTATGAGTACAACCGACCCCATGTACTCGTAAGTGTCGAGCCTAACCTCAACAAAGTAGTGATGAGGCTATGACACACCTACCTAATGAACCTGTGTAGATAACAATATATATATAAATAAAAGCAAA